TATGCCCTACGAGAGATCCACGAGGAGATCTGTGGGAACTACTCTAGATGGCGCTCCCTTGCCCACAAGGCGCTCAGACAAGGCTACTTTTGGCCCTCCATGGTAAGGGATGCCCAAGAATTCTCCAAGAAGTGTGACAAGTGTCAACGTTTCGCAACTATGTCCAAGCAACCACCGGAGGAGCTAACAACCATTTTAAGTCTGTGGCCTTTCTCCAAATGGGGCATCAACATCCTAGGCCCCTTGCCTCTCAGCAAAAGACAGTGCAAGTTCGTGGTGGTGGCAATCGACTATTTCACCTAGTGGACAGAGGCCGAACCCTTAGCTAAAATCACAGACGCGAAAGTCAAAGATTTTATCTGGAAGAGTTTGGTCTGTCGCTTCGAGATTCCCCACGCCATTATCAGTGATAACGCCAAGCAATTCGACAATAAGCTGCTAAACTCTTTCTACTCCGACCTTCAAATAAAACAACCTCACTCCAGCCCAGCACACCCACAGGCAAATGGACAAGCAGCGGTTATGGTAAGAACAGTGCTACGCAACCTAAAGACAAGGCTTGAAAGAGCGAAGGGTCTTTGGGTAGACGAGCTACCTGGAGTATTGTGGGCCTATTGAACCACACCAAGAACTCCTACTGGGGAGACCCCTTTCTCCCTCGCCATTAGAACTGAGGCGGTCATCCCTGTGGAAATCGGGATACACTCTCTAAGGGTCCAACACCACAACCCCATCACCAACGAGGAAGGACTCCACATCAACCTCGACTTGGTGAAAGAGGCAAAGGAGATGGCTGTGGTCCGCAACGCAGAGTACAAACGACGAATGGCGAAATATTACAACTCGAGGGTGAAGCCTCGTTCCTTCCAACCAGGGGACTTGGTCCTCAAGAAAGTGATCCTCGCCACAAAGGATGCACACGAAGGAAAGCTGAGACTGAATTGGGAAGGACCCTACCTCGTAACAGAGGTGGTGAGGCCGAGCACCTCTAGNACAAAGGATGCACACAAAGGAAAGCTGGGACCGAATTGGGAAGGACCCTACCTCGTAACAGAGGTGGTGAGGCCGAGCAACTCTAGGATCCAGAATTCTGAGGGAAAAGTCTTACTCCATCCATGGAATGCAGAGCACTTGAAGAGGTATTACCAATGACACCTTGAGAGCATCAAAATAGTGGAAGTTGGGACTTGATTTTATTTTTTGGGGTTATTACCCAATATTCAATGTACCTTTTTGGGAATTATTACCCAATGTTGCTTTAAATAAACAATAGATTAATAAAATTTTCTACGTTTTTACTCCAAAAATATCTTTTGCATTTCATTTCAAAAGAGTATCAGTACAAAAGTGAAGCTATAAACTGTATTTCTTAAAAAAAAAAAAGAAATCAAAAGTCCTAAACACTCTAACTGCTCTCACGGTCGTCCTCCACCTACTCCTCCTCCTCATCATCCTTGACATTATCAGAGCCCCCCTCACTATCATCAGTAGGCACGAAACCTGAGAAGTCGATGTCTGGGAAAGCAGCAGAGATCTTCCCTCAGAGCTCCTCGAAACCATCAATAAAAGCATTTGCGAGGCCATTCTCCAAGTCTTCCTCAGCACAGGAAGCTCTCTCCTGAGCGGCCTTCAACTTTGCCTCCACAACAGCAGCCTCTCTGAGCATGGCCCTCTCATGGGTCTCTACAAGGTCAGCCTCCCTGAGCGCATTCCTCTCATGGGTCGCCAAACGCTCAGCCTCAAGCTTAGTTGCCTGCTCACGGGCCTTAATAAGCTGACCCTCCTTGAGCGCGTCCCTCTCACAGGTCGCCAAAAGCTCAGACTCAAACTTGGTTGCCCCCTCGTGAGCTGCCACAAGCTCATCCCGAGAAGCACTACCAGCTGCCTCAAACTCGGCAATCCGCCCTTGAGCAATAAGAAGCTCCTTTTGCACGACATCAAAATCCAGCTTCAGTTTGTCATGATTATAGGCCTTTGAAATCAAGCAGACAGATGAAGTCAAAACCTGAAGAAGATGAAAGGTACAAAGGTGACCAAAGACGTAAGAAGGAAGTGGAGAAAGGGAAATAGTAGACCCTTACCTGAGCCAGGCCTTCCAAATATGTGTTGACAATCCTCTCGGTGCCAGAAGTACTAAGCTGACAAACTTCGGGTGCGAACACAAACCTCCCAACCCTTTCTCTGATGACTGGCGGTCTACCCATCATGGGACCAAGCCAAGTCGGTCCTCTAGCAAAGGTTCCCACATGAGGAGGGGACAAAGGAAAAGCAGAAGGTGTGCCCGGCAAGGAAGACTCTGGAGTAGCAACTGAAGAAGTCGCTGGTTGAGGAGGCACCACCGTAGGAGTCACTTGGGGGGCATCACCCGTCCTCGCCACCTTGGAAGAATGAGGGCTCTTGCTAGAATAGCGAGACACTACCACCTTTTTACTTGCTGCAAAAACAATAAAGTGTCAGAGAGGTGAAAAATACCAAGAGGAAGGAGAAATTAAAGGAGGAAACTAACTCACCCTTTTTCTTTGAAGAGGAATCACCAGATTTCTGAGAGGGAGCAACGGCCCTAGTATCCTTGGGCAGAAGAGCTCCCAAATCTTTGTGAGGGCAAGCCTTGATGGTCTCCAACTTCCACTCCTGATCTTAAGAAAGTACGGGCGTGTCTGCAAGGGAATGGTGAGCACAGAAAAAAAAAAAAAGCAAATGTGCAACGTACCAGGTTTTCGGACAACACCCCAATATATTAGCACCAAACCTCTGTTGGCTTCTGCGGCCCCCTCTCCACCAACAAAGAAAAAACAAGATTTTCAGCCGCAACAATTAGAGCGCATTCCCGTGAGCACCGTACCACTTCTTGTGATAAAGTAATATCACCCCTTATTTGGTGCAGGAGCTTCGCTCAAATTATATGCTACATAGAACTCCACAGGAGAAGCATCCTCATGATGCACTTTCCTCCATAATGCAAGAAAACCCAGCAGAACTCTCCAACTATTGGGCACTAATCGCCCTGGAGTCAAGGAAAAATAATGCAAAATACGGCAAATGGTAGGGGACATTGGGAATCTTAGCTCAGCCTCAAGCATTTCCTCGTAAACAACAATATCACCAGAGGAGGCGTCGCAAGCAAGCTCACCCGTCTCAGCCCGATGACACAGCACAATCGAAGGAATACGATAAGTAGAAACCAGCCTCAAGATATCTCCATCCGAATTGAACAAACTGGAAAGGGTACTCACCTTAGACCCATCGTCATCAAGTCTCAGTTTGCCTTTGTGCTTCTTCTTTCGAGGCCGTAAGGAGTGGCCCAAGCTATCGTCTTGAGGGATTTGGCTTTGAGAAGTCATACTTGGAGAAGTTAGATCGTGATGACCAAAAGCGGCACCCGAAGCTTCCTTGTCGTCTGCAGTGCTTAGCCCAGCACTTGGAGGGGTGTCTGACGCTCTATGCTCTCCCAAACGAGATAGCCCAACACCTGGAGAGGTGTCTGACCACCTTTGCTCGCCCAAACGGGGCAGCCCAACACTGCCTGACGCTCCAAAGTTGCACAAAACAGCTCCAAAGGCGCCCGAATCAGCGCCTAAAGTGATGCCCAGGCCTGCCCCTGCGCCCAGGCTACTGCCCAGCCCCCCTGCTCGCCCACTGTGCATGCCTGTTGCGCCGCTTGATGGTCTGAACAACCTCATTTTTGACCTGCACGCGGCTGTCCAGCTCCCTGCTATGCGCGCCCAAGCTGTCCAGCATTCTGCTCTGCGCGCCCAAGCTACCCAGCCCTCTATTTTGCGCACCAAAGTTGTCCAGCACTCCACCCAAGCTGTCCAGCTCTTTGTTCTGCGCATCCAAGCTGTCCACCTATATATATATATATATATATAAATGGGTATGTATATATATCAATATACTCTTGGAAGGATTCAAGAAGAACACACTTTTTCCTCTCAAGTTCCAACGAAATGGGTAGGACTTGGGCTTTTAAAGTTCTCAAGAATGGATGCTCAATCTCAAGGTAAATGAAATGGGTAGAACTTGGGCTTTCAAGATTTTCAAGAATGATTTTCAATCTCAAGGTGAGTGAAATAGGTAGAATGAAGAAGACTATATTTATAGTCTAGGGTTTTTAAAAGAGGGAAAAGTCCAAATTGAAAATTATGGGCCCTCTTAAAAATCCTAACAAAAGTGGGAAAGGCTTGAAGTATGCACCAAAGCCAAAAATAATTATACAAATGAAGAGTCAATGCCTCCTTCTCCAAATTTCCTTAGACATAGGAGGCATTGGAGGACAAATGATGGGTCAAGCCCAAGAAGAACCCAATTTATTTGGAAAACCCAAACCCCAATTGAAGAGCTCAATCTTATAAAGACCCACTAAGCCCAATATTATCCAAGTTCAATCTCATCAGTTCAGCTACGTCATCAAGAGAGAGAGAGAGCACGGAGCCTTACCTGCACCGCCAAGGAAACAGTCCACCCTCACCTTATCCTTGACCGCATCTCATAGAGACCACCTCGCCCGTTAAGAAAAAGTCGTGAACTCCACCAAAATGGTTGCTTAGTTACTGTAAAATAGCCTCAACTTGTTAGGGGGCCACTATAAATTGCACGTCCCACCAACACTTGGGGGGCATCACACATCACCTGAGCACGACTCTGTCCTCTCCCTCAAAACTTGTACTCTCTGCTCCCCACACCCTTGAGTTAATAAAATACCCGGCAACTAGAGCCATTGAAGAGTGAACGTAGGTCAGGCTGACCGAACCACTATAAATTGTCTGTGTCTCCCTATCTCCTGATTTTATTTTCTTGCATTTATTATTCACACTTGACATGTGGTGTGCAAAACCATTTTGTGCATCATCAATACAATTAAGAAAAAAACTAGTGTTTTAATTAGTCCAACAATTTTAAGAGTGAAAAATCAAGCATAGCAGCAAGAAATGAAACATAAATTGGAGCTAAGACATGAGAATTGAAATGAAACATAACATGTTTGTGTGCTATATATATACCTCCACAGTGTGACAATTATCACTGTTTCTGGGGTCCACTAAGAAAGTGACCTTATCACCTTCCATGCCCAAAATGCGCTTCGTTATCGTCCTTCTAGGGTTTTCAGGTGAACGAACTAAAACAACGTCTCCTGGGCCCACCATACCCAGCAGGGTCGATATCCGCTCCGTCAATATCACATCGCCGGTCAGGTTCAACGTAGGTAGCATACTCGGACCATACACCTAAAACCACCAGATTGTTTTACATTCCTCCATACACAGGCATATATATATATATATATATATATA